ATGTAACATCAGCAAATGCTTGAAGGTCGCACAAAATCGCTGATTCAGCAATTTTGAAGGTCACAGAAACGCTGAATCAGCGAGTTTGTAGGTCGTACACGTGCGCGTCGTCCCTTCCCGCACCCCCGCGCGCCTACAAAAATGCTGAGTCAGCCCCCCGCCCCGCACCCCCTCAGCACTCCCGGGTTAGAAACCGCCGACTACACCTACTGACTCATCGCACAATCACGCTGGCTGGAACTTCAGAAACAGATGGAACTTGCTACGGAACCACTTATTCAGATCCTTATGGATCTTGGACCAACGTATTTGTTCAAGCAACCAACGAAATTAAATTAAAGAACCAAATGGCAAGAATTAGAATGGATTCAGGAAAAATAATATTACCATCAGGAACAACATGCAATTTGGCAGATTCAACATTGTTCAGTCAAGAGACTGAACGATAATTGTAAGCGACACAATTTCAGATGGGCCCGCAGGTGTCTGTTTATCAACAGCCCTGGCTAGTTCTATTTGTCTAGCAAATTAGAATACAGCACGTATCTCGCTAGTTAATTGTTGGGCCTATCACGACCACACCGTGCAGCCAATAACAAGTTTAGCAAAAAAAAAAAAACTTCCTCTCTTCATAAGAACAGCTGTGCCTCTCTAGTTCATCGAGAAGTGTGACCAGTCTGGATTCGTTTTCTCAGCTTGCAGTACGAAACTGAGCAGTTCAAGTGAGATAGTTCTCTTCGGAGATAGTTCGCGATTAATTTTCTTCTATCTGAGATCGTTCACTAGTAACTACTGGTCAAAATCTCTAATTTGTTGGACAGAAGAATCGTAATTCTATCTGAGAAGCCACGTGGCCAATTTCTAATAATTCTCCATCTTGAAAACTTTCGCATGATTACGTAATACAAGGGACTACACCCTTTTAATTTAGTATTAATTAACATTCTTTTTCATTGTATACATTAAGGTTAAGAATAAGTTTAATTAGTAGTTAATTTAGATTTCGTTTATTCCGCCTCACAAGCTTCAAAAAAGGCAAAGTCTAATTTTTCTTAAGGTCGGTGCTGTTGCACCAAACAAACATGCATCGACTACGATTCTGGAAATACTTTTTGGAAACCATTACCGACCGACACTTGTGAATTGAAATCTTATGATGTACTTTATGAAGGAATAGCTGATAAAATAGAAGAGGAAACAACAACACAACATCCAACTCTCCGCACTAAAACCGCGATTTCTTAGAAATTAATGGTTATAAACTAAACGCGAAGTGCTTAAAACGGCGTAGCAATAGTGAATAAATCGGAAGAAAGTGCGGCGGTGAGAATCAAAGCTCCTGATTTTAAATAATCACTGAAAAATGTATAGTAACGGCCGCGCAATGTCGACACACAAGTCCGAACTGCAAATCTAAGTATATTTAGAGACAGTGAATTAACTTAGTGGAAGTGCTAAGACCTTAGAGGACACATAAGATCGCATAGACTCCGACCCACCACTGTCGAAGCAAGGATTAAAAGCTCAACGGAGGCAAATACGGAGAAAGCATGTCGGGTGGCGGTTGCACTGCCTGTCAAACCATTTGAAAGGTACGTGCCGCGGTCAACGACCCGACAGTATGGCGGACACCTGTCAAACCGGAGCTGCCAAACGCTACCGGCCGGCGATTCGTGCGCGCGCAGGTATCGACGCGAAACACGCGACCGAAACAGATGACAGTATAAATACAAACAACAACAACTTAATAAAGAGCGAATAAATATAACACAAACTAGCGAACACCCGTTTCTATTCTCTATTACACCAAAACATATTACATAATGCTATTTGAAAGTTAATTTCAAAAATGAATTTTTTCTTTACAATTTTCTCTTACATAACAAATAAAAATTAATAATAAATATCCTGCATAAAAATGGTTGCCAGAATCGAATTCTACGACTTAAAAACTATTGAAAATGTGTATTTCATAACAAATAAACAATAAGTAGCAGTTTCATGAATTTAGTCCGCGTTTTGACGGTTTCGGACCACTGTGCNCTATTATATGTCAGGTGCCACATACACTGTTTTTATCAATTATTATTTCTATTATATGTCAGGTGCCACATACACCGTTTTTATCAATTATTATTTCTATTATATGTCAGGTGCCACATACACCGTTTTTATCAATTATTATTTCTATTATATGTCAGGTGCCACATACACCGTTTTTATCAATTATTATTATTTTATATCATATCGCACATGTGTCACATACACCGGTATTATCATTTTATTGTATGAAGTTGACCACATTGAATCGTTCATTAATTGAAAAGCGTATGAAGTATTAAAAGATTTTATAAGTTGGTTATACATATTTAGTTATTAAGCTAACTTCATGGTAAAAAGAAATAGGGGAGACGAAAGAGAAAAGATTTTGATATCGGACCATCTAGTGACTTCTGAAAAATATCTCTGCATTAAGGACATCTTTTTAAAAAAGACTTCTTACACATTGTAAAGTAGTCTAAAAAAAGTGTATTGTGACATTAAAGCATTAAGAAAGTACAGAGGAAACAATTAATATTCACGAAAGAAATTCAAAATGTCGAATTTACGTGTATATAAGGGTACGCGGTGCCCGACGGCAATGCTGCCCCCTGACGGGCCTCAAACTTGCCTTCGGGCCGCTACCGCGCCCCTTGACCTTAGGCTAGAACGGACAGCTACTAGGTTAGGTGTAACCTCAAACGTAACCGCGACGCGCGATTAAGGTTCACACGAAAGATAGAATGCACCAAACCGAAACCACGAGGTTTCTCACAAAGGGAATAACTGCAGACACGGCATGTGTTATATTTCCACGTCAGCTACCGAAATGAACAGCTGTTATAATCCCGAAAGAAGCGCGCAGTCCCAACATCGATATACTAAAACCGCGGAACTGCAATCGTCCGAATTTTTTCAAGTATCCGACGAGCTCGCGTAATAACAAAGTATCAACGCGAACAATCACGTGTCTAGTCGAATAGAACAAACGTTTTTTATCTTTCTCTGTCTCTCTATTAATGGCTCTACCGAACCGAGCGAACATCACCGCGCGCTTTCCAAAACACGTCGGTAAGAGGGACCTCTACCGCACCGCACGTGATAAACGTACCTGCGTTAGATAACCCGTACGATCAACTAAACGTATCCGCGTAATACCGGAGACGAAAGATAGGAATACTTGAAGGACAATACAATCAGGGATAATAAAACAAAGATAGCAATTTCAACATCGTAGTAAAATCGTAAAATACAGAGATGTTTCCTTTTCCTCTGCTCAGAATCACACAGCCAAATTCTAATCTTGAGGTTTTTTGTGATAAGTAATGACATCAGTAACGAGCCTCGGTTGCATAAGGAGACACTTTCTCCTATATCTAAAAATAAAGGCAATCATTCGAAACAAAGACTTTTTACCTGACTAGTATCTTGTCCTTCAAAGTAGTACGACACACGCAATGCAGCTGTAACAAGAACAGTCACACCAATTATAAGTAGGCGCTCTTTATCCTCGAACCTACCCAACCACCTAATTCCTTCCCTACCTCCTATCCCACTTCCTGAAGAGTGAATGAATGATGAATGAGTGATAGAATGGGCTGACACACGCAGTCCCGGCGCTGGGAGTGCCCGTGAGCGGTGGGGTTGCTCCCACCCCATCGTCTCCCGGGCTGATGTGAGCTTGCTCTGCCGAGGCGTTCGGGCTGCGTGGTGTCCGGGGATGGCCACTTCGGTCCTTAGCCAGGGAGTGTAGGTCGAGTGAAGGGGTCGGAGCCTTCACCGTATACGGGCGAGCTTCTCTTCGTCACACTGGAAGAGATAAAGTGCATAGGTACAGGATCCCCGGAGTTCCGGGAAGCTGATAGGAATTGATCCACAGTGGGTGCACCCTTCTGTATCGCAGCCCGCTCCTTCCTACACGATGCGCCATTAAAACCATAATTATGTCTAATTCACGAAAAACCCCCAAACAAGGCACGATTACACAAATTCTAAGTAATATAGGAAAAGACCTCACCGAGTACTCGGGAAGAGAGCTCAGTGAGTCCGACACAACAAATAATGAGAGGCTAAAACGTGGAGACTTGGACAGAGAATCCTATGAAAGCGTTCATGCACCAAACTTCACACTATCAAGGAGTCCCGTTAACTCTTCGAATCCGCCGCCTACTCAAACTACCTCAACTGAGGAGAACAATGTTTTCCGAACGCCGGTAGGCACGATCACGCGAAGCACCCTGAAACAGGTCAAGCGTAAGAGAAGCGACGAAAAGAAGAAATCCGTGGAGAAGAAAAAGAAGGAAGATAAGAAGAAAAAGAAACTGAGTTACTCACCGAACGATTCGGACGTAGGGTCCTACTCCGAGGGTGACGAAAGTGAATTTTCCGTTGATGCCGCAAACCAGCCGGACACAGCTCTAATTAGCTCGCTCCTAGACTGTGTCCAGGATATCCAGACTGTCAGGACCAAATCATCAAATCTGCAGGGTGGGTACCAAAAGAAACTCAAGATTGCGGAGGAAACGATCAAGGAGATTAGCTCAGAACTTGCTTGCAGAAAAATTGGCAGAGACGACGGTAAATTAAACCGAGCCCTAGTGGAAGAAAATAGTAAACTTAAGAACCATATTAAACTATTGGAAAAAAGAATCTCCGCGCTAGAGGATTCTTCAAGACCAAAAAATAAAGACGAAGGGAGTGTCTCAAACTCACGCAGCCTCCCAAATCAACTGGAGGAGATAAAGACGAGCTTGGACAAGCAAATGACGGAATTCAAAATAGAAATTAAGGCGATGCTGACTTCCTGCATCACAAATAAGACGCTTGCACCCGCAACAGAAATTAATAGCTCGATCAGTAATAACGCAGCTGATAAGGGCAGAGACAATGTAAATAGACCAGCAGAGACCGTGCAAACGAAGTGGTCAGAAGTAGTTGGCAGGAAAAACAGAAATAAAGCCAACGATAAAAAGAGCCAACCCCCAGCTCAGCGAACGGAAGCACAGGTGACAGGCTCCAATGTACAAATAGCCAAGAAGAAGAATTCTGTAAAAATAACAAAAGACAAAGAAGTTATCCATATTATAAGGGAAGTGGGTTGTAAAATTGAATACGCTGAGATTATGAAATTAGCGAGGGAGAATATCAACATCACTGACCTTGGTATCGAAGGTGTAAGGCCGAGAACTTCTCTTAACGGTGGCCTCATACTTGAGATACCGGGCAAAGACATGGAAAAGAACGCTGATGCACTTGCTGCAAAAATTACGGAACTGGTGAAAGACAAAAGAATTAAAGTATCACGACCTCAAAAATGGAAGGAAATAATAATTCTGGGCATGGATCTATCGATAAATGTCCACGATGTGATAGATGCAATAAAGAAACAAACAGGGAGCGACCAAGAGGTCAAAGTTGGCTCAATAAGAAGAAACCTACGTGGCTCCAGCTCCGTATCAGTAAAGTGCAAAAAGGAAACGGCTCTCAAACTCCTCGCTGCAGGGAGAATGAGAATGGGCTGGTCCGATGTGAAGATCATCGAAGCCGATGCACGTCCACTGCAGTGCTACAGGTGCTGGGAGTATGGCCATCTCAGCGGAGCCTGTAAAAGTCAAATCGACAGATCCACTTGGTGTTACAAGTGCGGAAACAAAGAACACATAGCCAGTGAATGTTTAGAAACTAATATGACGTGCAGGCTGTGTGAGGAGCGGAAACTAGCAGCTGACCACAGAATGGGAAGCCACGCGTGCTCCACACTCCGTAATTTTAAGGAAATTGACGATCTAAAGAGAAAAAACTTATCAAAAAATAATCCCAAACCTGACGTGACATCGAAAAAGGTTGCTCCACCGTTCTTGCTTGCAGCAACAACACAACCAAGAACCCAGCCGAAACCCGGCACAGCAACTTCTGACGCATCTGTAAAAGAAAAGCACGATAGAGATAAAAGCCGAGCTAATTCAACATAATGGATATAAAAATTTTACAATCTAATTTGAATAACTCGCATGCAGCACACTTACTGCTCATAAAGCACTGTGCTGAAAACAACATAGATATCTGCGTAATAAGTGAGCCACGAAAAAACCCCGGGGCAGGGTGGCTTTGCGACTCTACCGGAAAAGCCTCGATTTATCTTCATAATAAAGACAACGACCTGATCATGAAGACCATAGCTACAGTCGACGGTTTTATCCTTGTCGGAGACAATCAGATAAAGATAGGGAGCTGTTATTTTTCTCCGAGCAAGTCGCCGGACGAATTCGAGCAGTACCTGAAACAAATTGGAAAAATAATCAGAAGCGAAACCAAGAAATCCCCCCTGATTATTGGCGGGGACTTCAATGCGCACAGCAAAATCTGGGGCAGCAAAAAAGACAGCAAGAAAGGGAAATCTCTCGTAAACTGGGCTCTAAGCAACGGGCTCTTTTTAATAAATAAAGGGAACTCACCAACATGCGTAAGAACCCAAGGCTCCTCCATTGTTGATCTGACGTGGGCTAACGAACAGGCCACAAGACTATTATGGAACTGGAGAGTGCTCAGCGAGGTCGAGACTCTCTCAGACCATGTATATATTACAATGTCGCTCCACGCACAAATAAGAGACCGGGAGAAAGCCAGGAAAATTAGCGAGAGAGTATTCCCTAGATGGAATACAAATAAAATCAACCTAGACCTGTGCAGCGCTGCGATTATTGCCGATTCGTGGCACTTGCCGGAGATCAATACAGCAAACCTAAACAGAGTAATAGAAAACCTCGAGAATATACTGACCCGCGCATGCAATGCGTCGATGCCAAAGAAAAGAAATCGCTCTACAAAACCTCCCAATGAGTGGTGGTGCAATAGCCTTTCCATCCTGCGGAGCGAATGCCAAAAACGCAGAAGAGAATGGCAAAGAGCAAGAAGAAGATCCGCAACATCTGACGACGAGCTATCTGCCAAACACGACCTATATAAAGAAACAAAAAAAGTTTTCAAAAAAGAAATGTTAAACGCAAAAAAGAAAGCATGGACCAATCTTTTGAAAACGCTGGACGATGATCCATGGGGGAAGCCATACAAGTGGACCAAGAGACTGCGAGACGGAAGTGGTCCAGTAATAACAGAAAACATGAATCCAGGACTTCTAGAGAACGTAGTCAACTCTCTATTTCCGGATGGCCCACCTTGGATACCGCCAGGACGAACGACCGAATGGCGAGAAGAGTGGGAAGTCACAACCCTGGAACTCCATAAAAGCATTAAGAAGATGATGAGCAAAAAAACAGCTCCGGGGCCAAAAGGCATCCCGACCAAAATCATCGAAATATCAGCAGACTTACTGGAACACAGACTCCTTGAAACCTTCAACAGTTGTCTCAAGGCAAGGATATTCCCGGCGAGCTGGAAGACAGCCAAATTGGTTCTCCTCAATAAACCCGGGAAATCTCCGGATGACCCAGCGGCTTATAGGCCAATTTGCCTGATTGATGACATCAGTAAAATCTTCGAGAGAATCCTGGGATACAGAATTGAGGAATGGATTGAAAAAAAAAATGAGGACTCGCTAGCAAAATGGCAATTTGGGTTCAGAAAAGGCAGAAGCACAATAGACGCCATTAAGAGACTACGAGATTTCATCGATCAAAATGTAGAAATGGGTAAATGCGTGGTCGCGGTGAGTATTGACATCAGCAATGCGTTCAATTCCTTACCGTGGCCCGCAATTATCTCAGCAATGAAAGAAAGGCGTTTCCCAAGCTACCTTATCGAAATGATAATAGCTTACCTGTCAGATAGAAAAGTCTTGGCAATTGACGCTGAAGGAAAGATCCTGGCAAAGAATATAACATGCGGCGTACCGCAAGGCTCAACCCTCGCAGCCCCTCTGTGGAACTTAGGATATGATAACGTGCTACGCGCACCGCAGTCGAACGCCATCCAAATCACAGGATACGCGGACGATACAATCGTCGCAGCCGCAGGTAAATCTATCCAACGAGCCATAGGGAAAGCCGAACTAGCAACTTGGAGAGTCCTACACAGGATTAAAAAACTGGGTCTGAAAGTTGCAACAAAGAAAACGACGATCACATGCTTCCACCCAAGGAACATGAGAATCTTAAACGACATGAAAAATATGACAATAAACGGTGAACGTATATCAATGAAAACTGAAATGAGGTACCTCGGAGTAATCCTCGACGAAACGATGGTCTTCAATAAACACGTTGACAACCTGACCCCGAGGTTAAGAGGTTACTGCAATGTCTTACACAATATCCTACCTAACCTCGGAGGCCCAAGAGAGGAGATTCGTAGACTTTACATAAACTCATTTAATTCAATGGCGCTCTACGGCTGTCATATATGGGCGAACGAAGTGCTGCAAAATAGCAAACTAATTAATACATTACTTGACGAACAGAAAAAAATGGGATTAAGAATTATTAGAGGCTACAGAACAATCGCCACGCAAGACGTCTTCCTGCTTGCCAGTGCACCGCCACTAGACGTTCTCATCGAGGTCTTTGACAAATTCTATGAAATCCAACGTGCGCTACCAACGCTAGACCCTGCATCCTTAAAGAAGGAAAAAGATAAATTAAAAACCGAAAGGCTGAAGGAAGTGCAATCAACCTGGCAACAGAAACTATACTCACCAGGAACAAGGGAGCACAGAGTAATTAAGGCGATACTCCCGAACTTTAACAACTGGATCAATCGCCAATTTGGCAGCCTCTCATATAGAATGACTCAGGTAATCTCTGGGCACGGATGCTTCGGAGATTACCTGTACAAAATAAAAAAGGAGCCGACACCGAAATGTCACCACTGCAATGAGAGCAAAGATAATAATATACATACCGTCTTTGCATGCTCAGCATGGGCAAACGAGCGGAGAATTCTCTTCACTTCAACAGGCCCTCTTGCAAATCTTGAAGGAGCTATCGACGCTATCTTACGAGCACCCGAAAAATGGGAAGCCTTCAAAGCGTTCAGCGAAGAGATTATGAAAAAGAAAGAGGCGGCGGAAAATATCAGACAAGCATCAAGAGATGCGCAAAGAAACGCGACAAGCATACACAGGAGATGGACAACGACACTTGCACAGGTGCACAATATCTCGCAATTGGACGTAACAAATTAAAAATGCACTTTAATTTCAACGCACAAGTCGCGAAAAGCACATGACGCCGAGAAGACGCAGAAAGGACGCCATTAACAACCAACGAGATCCGCGCATGCGTCATCAGTAGGCTCAAGGAGCACACGCAAGAAGAGTGTACACTCGTGCGCAGAAATCATGGTGTACATGAAATGCGGGTAATGCGTATATAAAGACTTTATCCGTTCGGACGAAAAAACTGCAAAATCGCGTATTTAACGAAAGTATGGATGGATGATTGTATGAAAGATGAATGAAATAATTGTAAGAGTGAATGACTAACCAGATATCCTCTGTGACTCCTCAAAAGACGAACCAATTGACACGGTACTAACCAATAGAGCTCCATTTGCACTTCACATTAATGAATGCAAATGGATGACATGGTATGACGCGGCAACTCAAAAGGGTACGAGCCTAGAAAGGAAGACCGCACATGTTCCGCGAATACATGTGCGGAAAAAAGGTATGTACACTTCGAGCAAGTGACTCAGCTCGAAGGATAAGTAAAGATGTAATCCTCCCTACACGGTTTGAGGAATGATAAACGAGGCATGTATCTCCCCTACGATGGGTTTGAGAAATAATATAAAAGGAGCTTTCCTTAAGAAAAAAGCGCGGGAAGGATTCGGAGCAATCCGAAAGGGGTCCCGAATCCTTCCCGTTGCGCTATCAAGGAGTCACCGAGGGGTTTTAGCCGGTAAGAGTCCGGCACTACCCATGCTGTCGGCACTTGGAGAACATCTCTCCCTGATCCGATAGCATGGGTGTCCATGAGGATTTCCCCCCGTAAAAAAAAAAAAAAAAAAAAAGGGTCGCAACTTCACCTCCTGGTAATAACTCCGGTCTTTCACTGTCATGCAGGGCTACAACGCGTCACGCGGGCTCACCCTGCGACAAGTTACTCCTCCGAAGCGCTCGAGCAGCCATGATACCTAATCGGAAAGCTAAGTGGCCTTTCGGGCCTCGGGTTGAATGTCGGGCAAATACCCGGGCTCGAGCTGCCCCCCATCTGCGGATGGACCACGATCTTCGATCGTTTCGTTTGTTATTTCAGCAATTTTCGGCGAATAATGACATGAGAATTAAAGAGTCGCGACCTGAGATCCGAGTGGAGGACTCGTATGATCCCTAGGCCAGGATGCACCAGAAAGGAAGATGGGGAGGTACATCCCGGCCAACTTTTAACCTTATGCGTGACTCGACTCTCGCGTGAATGTAATAGCCAAAGAGTAATTCCCGTTAGAGTTCTACTGCTAAAAGATTGATGGGATTGGAATAGTACGGTATAGAGTAGATCACGGCCCCATTTTATGAAGAAAGGAAGGGCGACAGACCGACGGGCAGCCGCAACTTTGGCGAGTAACCCGACATGCGGCTAAGGTTCCAAGCCGTCATCGCAATTTCTACATCCTCTAGTGATTCACCAGATGACCCAGACTTCAGCGAGTCCACCCTCCAGCTCAAGGCTGGACATAGCGTCCAAGCCTACATTTGGGGATTTTTGTAACCTGGATCCTGCACCGGGAACGCCACCCGCACACCCTGACGCCGTGAATGGCTGGGGGAGGGGGGAACCTTCGCGAAACTAATTGTGTCCCCCGAGACGATCTCCCGTGCGCCCACCTGTTCCCACCTAGGCAGGTCACCCTTAGGCCGACCCGGGTTGGAACTTCAGCGAGTGAGTGGGAAACACCGCCAAGCCTAAATCCCTTTTAGCGAACCGGAGCTTCTGAAATTTTCAGAGCGCCAGAACGCCGGGCTAGTGAGGGTGCGAGTCAAGTGTAAAATTGAGTGTTTGGGAAATTGGAAATTATTATTGCAAATCCTAAATTAAGTTCTCATTAAGGGCTACGAATAAAATAATATGGAATCAGAGAAAAACCTATTAAACGTGTGAGATTGTACATACTCTTGTAACGAAATACGGTTTGTTGTACATTGACTTTTAAGGTTAAGTACTCAGTGTTCGGG